ATGCGGATTCGAACCCGCGACCCTCAGATTGTGAGTCGAGTATTAGCAGGCATCGCGTTCTGTCAGGAGCGAAGTTAAAAACATTTGGCCCATCAGTTAATTTACGTTTCAACTTCTGGTTTTCGTGAAAGCAAACGGAAAATCTATCGGTTTGATGAGAATAATAATAATAATACCGAAAGTTAGCAACCGACGCTCGCCTTGACGTGCAAGTCAGTTCTTCCCGCTACTTTAAATTCAACTTAAGACATCTTTGGACAAACGAATAGAAAGGAAGGCTTAGTGAAATTTATCAGTTCTCACCTCTACACGATTCCTTGAAGTCATGGCAACAGTCTCCAAGTTTCATGCATGCATGGTCGCAGTAGCATGGTTTATCATCCAGGTCCTCTTTGATCGTGTTGATCGGTGTCTTCTGAACAACACACGAGCTGTCACGACCCGGGCAGCACAGATTGGCCTCGCGACACGAACCTCGTGCTTCTATCACGCAAAACAAATGAATGAAAAGGAAAACTGTTATTATTTTCACCCGAAATATGACCATTTTAAAGTCCGATTGTTTAATACAGTTCAAATGTTTCGGTGATCGAAAGTTCTTCCCAAGTCTGCGGAACAAGAACAGAGCTCAACGAGTACGCACGAGCAAGTGAATACGAGCCACGTGCGCTTACGGTTTAAATCGCCGGCAGGATTTACAATAAAGTTAAAAAAAAAACCTCATACAAAATAGGCTTAACAAATTTTATAATAATTCTAAGTAATATGGACAAAAATATCCTAATTATTAACTTCATTCGTTTTATAAAGTGGACAATATTCTGTGTGTCGTGTTCATTCCCCCTCCCCCTCTTTTTTTTTAGCTTTTTATCACATTTCAAACCCAATTTCCCGCTTTCCCTATCACCCTATATTAAAAAAACTCGACTTTCCTCCGAGGTGTATGGAGATAACGGCACCTGTAATAATTCGGAGTGGAAAAAAAAAAAAGTCACAACAAATCATATAAAATATCAGTTTGCTGTAGTTTATTTTTAACATAGGGGGAAAAAAGAAACGTAGGGTTTTTTTTATCACCTCATATACGACTGGTCATATTTTTCTCAGAATTATTCCTCTGTCACAGCAGCACGCTTTTTTTTTCGTAACTAAATATAATATTTTGGATGTGTCTTAAAAAACCTGAAAAGTACGTTTCAATCAGATTTGTCTTTTGTTGCCCCCTCCTCAAGCTTATTGTGATAGGATTGACGCTACTGGTTGATATATGTATTTAACGTCCATATTACAAGGATTCGTGTCAGTCTGTGCACATATTGTGACGTTTTATGTTAGAAGTTTAAACTTGCAAAATCTTATTTGATGTAGACACTGTACATATGATTGATGAACTTTCAATCATATGAAGTAGGTCAACTTTTGAAAATATAATGCCCCCTTTTTTGTGAAATATATGCGTGTGTATATTACATTTTAATTAAGGTATAAAGGTACTAAATAATCGATAAAACACTACTATAATTTGTATGTGTGAGTGCTACATTTTAACTAAGGTATAAAGGTACTAAATAATAGATAAAACACTACTATAATTTGTATGTGTGAGTGCTACATTTTAATTAAGGTATAAAGGTACTAAATAATAGATAAAACACTACTATAATTTGTATATGTGAGTGCTACATTTTAACTAAGGTATAAAGGTACTAAATAATAGATAAAACACTACTATAATTTGTATATGTGAGTGCTACATTGTAACTAAGGTATAAAGGTACTAAATAATAGATAAAACACTACTATAATTTGTATGTGTGAGTGCTACATTATAACTAAGGTATAAAGGTACTAAATAATAGATAAAACACTACTATAATTTCTATGTGTGAGTGCTACATTGTAACTAAGGTATAAAGGTACTAAATAATAGATAAAACACTACTATAATTTGTATATGTGAGTGCTACATTGTAACTAAGGTATAAAGGTACTAAATAATGGATAAAACACTACTATAATTTGTATATGTGAGTGCTACATTTTAATTAAGATATAAAGGTACTAAATAATCCATAAAGTTGGGTTTCACTTTCAATTGGATTATACAAGTCTAACCCGACAGTTGGCGGAGAGTGCTGTTGACTATCTGCATTCTTAGCGTCCTGATGGATCATCGGTAAAATTATAGACTTACAACGCTAAAATCCCGGGTTCAATTTCACGTGATGCACAGATAGCTTATTGTACAATTTGCGCGAAATGCTAATAGCTTATTGTACAATTTGCGCGAAATGCTAATAGCTTATTGTACAATTTGCGCGAAATGCTAAAATAAACACACAGAATAACTTTTGTCGAGATTTCCTCCTGATCTGTGACTACTTTTCCACAATAAACACCAGTGTTTCTGTGTTGATAGTGCTTTTCGGGGGTTTGGAGCACTTTCAAAACGGGAGAACGGGGCTCACTTCCCAGCAGGACGCCCATGACAACGACAGTAAAATATGTATGGTGTGTATCAAATCGGTACGCGCCTGCATGCGATAGCGTTCCAAAAACTATTTGGGGGGCGGAGGGGGACCGGATGGGGGAGCACATACAAGTTCTTCTTATGATGGCTCTCGACAGCTCTGGACCTGCTCTCTGAAAGAAGGGGCACATCCGTTAGTTGATTAGGGAATTTTTGTTCCCCTTCAATGACATGCTAGGTTATTCAAAAATATTATGCGTGATTTGCATTGTGTTAGACGAATCAACAAAAAAACAAGTAGAGATACTAATACAGTCCCTGTCATTATCAATATCAACACAGAGCTGTTCAAAAGAAACTATCTACACTTTGCAGAACGTGTCAATAACACGTGGCTACGTGCGATTATGTTCGCCAACTGATAATCATGTTAACTTTGAGGCTCGTGCACTGATCTCGAGTGCTTGTGACGCCTCTTCACCATTGCCGTTTTTTTTTATATAAGTAAAGTTTTCTTGGATCTTTTGTTGTGATGTGATGCCCAACGATACCGTGTCTTTGTTCCCAGCAGGAAACTTTCCTCCAGCTCTTCCTAGTGATGATAGAGCTACCGAAAATAATACTTCTTAATACATACACCCACACAGAAAGAAACTTTCCTCTGACTCATCCATATGTGAATATGGCCACCATACAATATTCCTCAAGATATACACCCCCATTAAAAGAGACTTTCCTCTGACTTGTCCATATTATGGTATTGCCACTGTACAATACTCCCCAAGATATACACCCCCACTGAAAGAAACTTTCCTCTGACTCATCCATATGTGAATATGGCCACCATACAATACTCCCCAAGATATACACCCCCACTGAAAGAGACTTTCCTCTGACTTGTCCATATGATGGTATTGCCACTGTACAATACTCCCCAAGATATACACCCCCCATTAAAGAGACTTTCCTCTGACTTGTCCATATTATGGTATTGCTACCATACAATACTCCCCAAGATATACACCCCCCCATTAAAAGAGACTTTCCTCTGACTTGTCCATATGATGTTATTGCTGCCATACAATACTCCCCAAAATATACACCACCATCCTGTACAATACTCTAAGAGCAGTTTCTAGAAGTCGTTGATTAGAATGACATAAATAAGTGACTTTTTACTCTGATTACAAATCATATACATCACCATCCTGTACAATACTCCAAGAGCAGTTTCTAGAAGTCGTTGATTAGAATGACATAAATAAGTGACTTCTTACTCTGATTACAAATCATAAGCTTCTTCCTGGTCAGTTTTTCAGACTAGCACGCGCGTTTTCTCTGTCTCAGAATCTTTATCTTACACGGCCTGGGATGGCCAGGTGGTTAAAGAGCTCGACTCGCAGTCTGCGGGTCGCGGGTTCGAATCCCAGTCCCACCAAACATGCTCGCCCTTTCAGCCG